CAACAGCATCCTTGAAGCAATGGAGACAATTTTCTCAGCTAGAYATAAAATACCTCCTTCAAATAACTGCTTCCAATAACTTCTTTTACAAATAACAACTCCACTAAAGCATATTGCTTGTTTTAAGTTTTCTTGTTTAATATCATGGCATCAAGTAATCAATAAAGGTTAAAAATCCAGATACATAATAGAAAAAAGTCTTTTCACTTTAAAGTCAACATCTTTCAGCCATGTCTTTTAGTTTCTGCTCAGTCTCCCCTTTCAGTAAGATTTAACCTCTTCAGGAAATTGTTTTAAAAGCAGTTAAAAATAATGATTAAATTATGGGATTTACATGAAAGAAATCCTCAGCCCATTCATTTTTTTTTAAATCATGGCAATTTGTTTTTTAAAAGGTGTTTGAAGTCCTTGAATCTACCTCTTGGCACCATTAAAAAAGAGGAGTTTATAATCCCCTAATGTGCTTAAATAAAGCCTTCAATAGTTTAAATTGTTATTAAACATCTTTTGGGATTATAATTTTATGGCTTTTTTTTTCCTGATTAGATGATGAACGTGAAGATCATCAAATACTCATCATATAACAAACCAATTACATCGTATAATCCCCGAAATGAGGTTTGAATCCCAACATTTTARATTAGGCTGGATTTAAAGGATGCAGAGTATTCACAATGAGCAAAAAAACCACTTGAAATGACACCCCACAAACTCCCTTCTTCTAGTTTTGAACAAAAAGGAATTTATACCGATTCCAAATACCAGTTTATGCCAATAATACCATTGCTGGGACAAAAGTCTAGGATGGGCTGAAGCAGAAACTAACCCTGTTGTCACAATCAAATTTACACAGATTTAATTGTAAGCAAAACTATTTTTGAATTCCCCTCCCCTTCCTCCAAACTTTTCCCCTATTTCACAATCCCTGCTGAGGGAAATCCATTACAGTGAAGAGATGTGCTTGAAAAATTCGGGGGGAGAAATGAACCCTGAATGCTAAGTGATCCAAGAAACAATTTTTAAATTTTTTTAAAAAAAGTCTAAGAGGCCTGCAAAACATTGCWGGGCTGCAACACACCCTGAAATTATCCTCAGGATGACTTTCTGAAGCGAAGCACCCACAAAGAACTGGTTTGCCCCAGTCCCTCCTCCAGCCCCTGMCAATGGTATTTGATGTTTACCCACTCCACAAACCTCTCCTCAATTTGGACTCAAATTTAACAGTTCCTCACCGATTTTTTTTTTAAATCCAGATAGCAGCAAGCTTGCATCTCAAATTTATACCAAAATCCTAAACCAGATTTCATAAATCTCCAAATTTACCAGCTGGTGTCATAACCTACCACGAAAAATGTCAACAAGCTCCACAACTACATTTTSCCCAACTAACAGCCCACCTAAGTAGCTCTTCCAACCCAGATGTAYAATCAAAATTAAATCAGAATAGCAAACAGTTAAAAAAATATCCTGCAAAGTCCTAAGTRTGAATCAGGTCAGCACTTCTGCAATTGTTTTAGCTGATTGTTTTTGTTGTTATTATTCCAAGAGGGAAAAAAAAGGCAATTTGGGCGAATTTGCCCTGATTTATTTCCTGAAAAGCTTCAGAGCATACTGCCTGCATCTGCAGAAGACAGCGTTTGCCTACCCCTTGGGCAGATGTCAACTCAGTTCCGCACATCAGTCAAAAAACTGRGGGGGCTGGAGCCTGACAGCGAGTGGGAACTACTGCCTGAACACTTTGGCATCCGGAGAGAAAAAAAAAAGAATTTCCTCCTAAGCCAGAAACGAGAACTAGGGGACAAACCTTYGGAAATGAAGTCAGTACACAGAGGAAGGCTTAATGCTCTTGGAGGTGAAATAACTGCACAGAAGGAATTAACCCAACCTGTACACTTTTGAAAGACTGTGTTTGTCCAACATTCATTTTCAGTCTTTCCAACCAATAATTGTTAGTATGTCAGACACAGCAATTTACTGCCTATTTTATTTAATTCCATGCCACTGATGTGTATTAATATTACAACTGTGAAAAAAAATTGCTTTTGAAAAGGARGGCTCCTAACTAACACCCCAATTAGGAAGCACCGAGTCAAGAGGATGCTGGATTTTGTGCTTAACTGCTGCTCATTTCTTCCCTGCCATTTTTCAGAGGGAAAAGACAAGGCAGGTAAAGTGCTGGGGRCAAAAGGGAGGTATCACCAGTCCTGACACATCCCCTGAACAGAACCACCTCCCTGTCTTTCCTCACTTCTCACTTCAGGGAGGACCTTGTGTTCACCCTACAAAAGACCACTGATAACTAAATTGATAAATAAATAAATAAATAAATAAATAAATAAATAAACAAACTGTGTGGGATCTATAGTTTCCTCAGGATGATCTCCCTCCTGCAGCAAGGAAGTATGACACCATCATACTGCGCAGTGATATAACAGCAGTCATGAAGCCCAGGTGACCTCATAAATGAACTGGAATTCTAATTCCTTCAGTCTCTCCCTGCCCCCCCACCACTCCTCAGCTCTGATTGTAGACATTATTTGGGTCTGGGTTTGTTGTGGGTTTTTTTGAAGCCAGGACAGCATCCCAAGCAGCCTGTCAACACACAAGCTCTGTTGCTCTAGCACTTGGAAGAGCCTAAAGTGTTCTCCAGTCACATTTGAATTTGAGGAAACTATCCAAGATCCTACCTAAAGTCTGTCTCAAGGTCCTGCCTGGAGAAGACAGGATAAACCAATTCTGTTTTACTGAATTGACCAAATAAGCYTGGATCTACCATGCTGCTAGCAATAAAACCACATGCTTCACCTGACTGGGCTGGATCTGCACAGTGGATGGTGGATTTTTAAAGCAAACTTTAGCCCAGTGCTGCAGGGTRGAAAATGCAGCATTGCATAGGTCCTAGGGGAAATGTTTTTTTCTGCAGTTGAGTCTTGCAGAAGAAGAGACCATCTTACAAGCAGATATCCAGATGTTGTCTCCTAGGGACTGCTAGGAGCCCTGCAGSAAACTCAGCAGGCTCTCTCCTCTTTTGAACACTATTACTGCACAGGAGAAGAGTGAAAAGCCACTAAAACCCTGCACCTAACCCAGGTAGAACAGCACAGGGGACTGTCTAGTCTGTTCTCCAGTCCTGAGACTAAGCATGAAACCAGCTGCAGCGTCAGGTCAATCTCATGGAGTTRAAGGCTCCCATCACAAGGGCTTTTTAGAAACACCCTGTAGCTTTCTGCCATATCCCCAGGAAGGCATTTGGGGCAGGTGGGGGGCTGGTCCAGGCTAAGAGTGTGCCCAAACATTTTGTCAGAACAGACCTTGGTGCTCCCGTGCTCAAGGCTGGGTGATGCTTTATTAACTAGCACAAAAACTGCAACAGGCAACTTTCAGTAAAAAAAATATTTATACTACTTTATTTGCAATTCCTCACTGGAAAATACAGGAACTGACATACAGTTTCTCAGTGTTCCCTGGTGTGCCTTGTCCTGGCTGCAGGTCTTCCAGGGCCTCCCCTCATTCCTGAACCTAAACCAGCTGGAATGTTTTGGACTGGCATGGACTGTTTTGGGGGGGATGTCCTTMACCTCACATCTACCTGCAGAGAGGTTCCAGGTGTCAACTCATCCTGGGTGAGGACCTCTAAATGGGGACTATCAACACCAAAGGGACCTCACTGAACGCACAAACAGGGCTGAGGACATGGGACAGGGCTGGTTTGAGTCTGCCAGAGACAGAGATTAACTCAGAGACATCCGAGGCCTCTGAGGAGCAGGGCTCCAACGTGAAGGTTCATTCATAGCAACCAGGACGGCGTGGGACAGGATTCTCTGCCTGATCCCCGTGCTGACAAGAGTCACGGCAGGTATCTGGTTTCTTGGCTCAGCAGGGGATGGAGGGGTGATGTGCATGAGTGCTTCCTTCACTTTACAAGCACACCCTTGGCAGTGCTCCCACCGGGGCTGGGCAAGCTGGCCAGCTTCTAGTTTCATCCTGACCCTAAGTGCAGGCAGAGGACAGAGACAGCTACTGGGGTTACAGGCAAGAGCCTTTCTTCACCAMCACCTGCAGACCCCCCAGAAACCCCTGCCTGATCCTTCTCCTCTGGCACAGAAAGGCTGAGACAAAACACCTGGGGCTCAAAGCCCAAACCCCCAGAGTGGATAAAAACACAGTGACAAATCACCACAATTTGACGGAGAATGGCATTAGAAACACTTTTCTAAATGCTAAATGCTGGAAGGTGTGGTACATAATACAAAGCCTTGAAAGCAGCTCCAGCATCCAGCTTAACCCCACACACCTGTCCAGAGCTTTGATTTCTAATCCCAGGAATAAATAAAAACCCATACAGGGGTAGCTGTGGTAACAAATAACTGCACATACCACCCCTCCCGACTTCCTAACATTAAATACAGGAGTAACTTACACTCTGGGAATGAAAACATCTCAAAGAAAAAAATTATACTTTGCTATTAAACCAGATACATTCAGACTTTTCATCATGAAGCTTCTGATGGTCTCTGACAAACATCTGAATAAGGTCTTTGTTTGCTTTTGGCTTTGTTTTTTAATCTCCCCAATTGTTTTCTGCAGTTCTCTGGAGCACAGAACCMGGGGCCAAATGCTGCTCTGTGCTCCAAAGCAGCGATTCCCACATTGGCTAAGGGGAGCTGCAAAGCAGGACAGGTCTGCAAGGTTGTATTAATATCARCTTTCAGTAAAAAAATCACATTTGGCAGCGATGTCCTGTTAACAACTGCATCTCAAACAAACAAACAAACAAATCTAAAAACAACACACACACAAAAAAAAAACCCCAAACCATAAAAACATATGCTCTATGCTCTTCCCCTGGCATCTAGCAAATGAGGCAACAACAACTCTGCTCGGAAAAGTTCCTCTACTGCCTGGCAGCAACATCATACGTATTTTTTGCTTTCTATGACTACTACAACTATGACATTATCCATGTTTTATTTTGCATATGTGATCTAGAGTTCACTTACTGTTAGATGCTGGAACAGCCATGCCCTCATGATATTTGTGGCTACTTTGGGAAAGATGCCACGCTTTTTATGTCGCTTTTTGTCCTTATCTGGATCATCATCATCACCTGTGCTGGGGGAAGCTACACTGTTGTCCAAGCCGTCACCTGTAAATATAGTGAATCAAATTTTGACTTATGCTACCTTTATATACTTCAGCCGAAGCCTGGCTTTGGGTATAAACTGCATGAATATTTAAATGAGGTATAAATTCTTTAACACCATAATTCACCAGGGATTGAGGGGATGGGGGAAGGGGGGGAGACACATAGGGAGAGGGAGGGGCTTAGAAATGTGTTGGCCCCATTCTGGTTTATCTTGAAGGACAGTGTGGCCATCTCTGCCATTGTAACCCAAAACAAAGAGTGCTTAAAAAAATATAAAAAAACTTGGCAAGCATCCAGCTTGCAAAGGTGGAAATGCTGGCTTTTCTTCACCCTAGGTCACTTCCCAAAGATTCATCCCAATCAGCTACTTTGGCTGAGCTGACAATGAGGAAAGTATCAATGGTGTGTGTGTGAAGCTGAGTGCCTTGTCCCACCCTGGGGTGTGAAAATTGGGGTGAACACAGCTCTTCTTACAACATCATATTCTCTCAACGAATTCAGAAAAAAAACARATGATTGAGGTGTTGCTTATGTTAAGCCTTTCAGAAATGTTTGACTTCCCCTGATTCTTTGATGGCAGGTGGGTATTCACCCAGCTCCCTTCTTCCCAGCCCCAGCCAAAACAAATTCAGAGTGGGATAAGTAGGCACCAATTTGACATACACCATTGGGAATTAATACCCTGCTTTGTGCCAGTRTGCCATATCTGTAATAGGTGTCTGCTCCTGGGAAACAACCACTGATCCAGAATGAATTTCCTTAATGCAGTGGAGGTCTCGGACAGTTCTCATCATATTAGCAACATGTCTGGGAGGATGCCACTGCCTAGCAGCCAGCTCGTCTCTGGGCTGATGGGTCAGCAGCCAAAGGAACAGAAAAGTTGCAGGGCCTACCAGTTCGCATGCAATTTTTGTTTCAAACACTGAAAGCAGTTTTTAAACAAGCCCACAGAGCAAGTAAATCTTTGCATTGACTGTGTGTGGACAGAATGACATACCCTAGCTTCCAAGGACACTGTATTTGAAGCAACATGGAGTAGTGATGTATTAGGCAAGTGTTTTTTACACCCCCAGGCAAGAATGATCAAGAAAATWATCTGAATCGGGCTGAATACAAACTATCTCCATTAGGGACAAAAATAATTTTTTTTTTTTTTTAAAGGGATGCGGACTGTCATAATTATGATTTGTTAAAAAGCTTTCAGCATCAAAAAATAAAAGCTATTATTAGTGTTATATTCTTAGCATGTTACTGACCGTGGCAAATTATAATTGTCCTTATGACTTGGCCTGTGTCTTTAATGAAACAGTAACCTTGGGTAGTTACAGACAAACACAAGATTTTTACGAAGAAATTAGATATCTGAAGAATTCTTTGAAAGCCCAGTATGTAAAAAAGGGCTTTTATACAGAGAAGCAATTCACCATATAAAATAATAATTCATAAAAGAAACATGAGCAAAGGAAACAACTCAACAGCATTTAAAATTCCACGGGCTAATCTACTTTCTGTCTGCGAGAGGCAAACAAGGAAAAGAAAAGTATTACGCATTCATTGATTAAAAATGARAAGCTTCTAACCTAATGACACTGCCTTTCACCACCTCCCTGMCATCGTCCACCCACCCTCTCCCCCCACCCCATTTTTTAAAAAATATATTCATTTCAAACCCCCTTCAGATTAATTTAGCAGGCATTGCCTCATGCCTGACGGGAGGAGGACTCATTGATAATTTATGGAAATATCTACTATAATCCAAGGGAGATGACTTTTTTTCCAGCTTTGTGCATCAATAGATAATCAAGGCCTTCAAGCAGCCTTAGCTTCCCATTACCTCGGGCAAGAGAATTCCTGAAAGCATGCCTCCAGGGCACCTGAATTATATCCTCCATTAGGGGAGGAAAAGCTTTCTGCATTCCACCTATAACACTCCCCAGAACCTTTCCTGTTTATTTCTGCTGTATGAAAGCAGAAGCATTAGGAACAGGATTTTTTAAGTGAAGACTTATGTAGAYACAATGGAGAAACCTTTCAAGCGCGAGCCAGATCACCTCCTTCAATCCCGGGCAGTGACCTATCCCAAATAAAAGGTTTCTGTTACATCATTAGCTCAAGCCAAAAACAGCCTTGGCTTAATGCACAGTTTGTTCTTCCTACTGTTTTTAGGCAAATACTGCTACTTTACTCCCATCTGGGAGGGAAATTACACTGCTGGGCTGTAATCTAAGACAAGATTTTCATTGGAAGCAAATGCTTTCAATCCAGTGTAAATACTGGTGTATGTTCAGAAAAGCCTAAAACAATAAACCCTGGCCTCGACCGACACAAGTTAGAGAAAGTGAAAAGCAGGGAGAGGATAAGAAAGTGCCCGGCTATCCTCGGAGCAAATGCTTCAGTRGACTTCTGTAAATTGTTTAACCTCTTCCACTTTTTTTAAATGGAAAATTGATCTCGTAAAGACTGAAACCACAGAGAGAAGTCTAAATGGTCAATTGTGGATTTTAGTATTTCCATCTACTTTGCAACTCGATACACTCACCTCTGTGAGGTCCCCAGAGATTCCCCCCTCCTTTTCTTTTTYCCCCCCCTCTTTTCCTCCTTTTAAAGATCACTAAACAAACTTGAAGCACCACTGACCAGCCACACGGTAGCAGCTACGAACTGCATTTGTAAAATGTCGGTGGCAACTCTGYTCCTGAAGTTGACTTCTCCTGCCGCCAAATGAAGGCGAACTGAAAAGGTGGAAATAATCATAGAAATGATGCTAGTCCATAAACAAGCTTACAGCCTCATTAGTATAGCGGGAGGCTCCGCTGGGTGATTTATGCTTGTTTTGCTGATGCCATGAGGAAATGCCATAGGGCAACTTTAGCCAGCTGCTAATGGTTTCTGACAGCTTCTTAGCAACTAGTGCAAGCAACGCCGTGGCGTTTGCTAGTGACAGAAACCGAAAATGTCATATTATCTGCCCATGTGTCACGAAGTCCGTGTGGCAATTAACTAGTAGGCCAGTGACTGAGGGGCCACAGGCTCTCCAGAATGGCCCGTGGCTATTTGGGGTCAAAGCGGGCGCACCGTTCGCCTTTACGCCGCACATATGCATGGGTGTGCGCACAGTCCCCGTCACGCTCCCTCTGCCCCACTCGCCGATCCGTTTGGTCCTCACAGATCCTTTGTCCATGGAGAAACTCCATCTCCCTTTCTCTTTAGGCATGGCGTGACATTATCAGAGGAACTGCAAGTAATCTGTCTTGATATGATGGTTGGAAATGGCACTTTAATTGGCAATACCTGATTCCCTGGTTTGGAGTGCTGGATCCGAAGGTGCTAGCTGTTTTTCTGCTCGCTCGCAAATTAGTCTAAAAGGATTTAAGATCACTGAAGCAGACTCGTTGCCTGTCAAATTGCTGGGAGCACAGCAACTCTGCACAGCAACTAGACGCTATTTAAGAAGAAAACAAATGCGGAGMCTGTAAGGAGCAGAAGGAGAGCCCGGACTCGGCGCGCCCGCTCCCTGGCGAGCAGAACCAGGCGCTATATGTCAAACTGTCAAACCTTTCAGCGTGGCCGTTTGCCCTTTCAAATAATATTTAAGAATTGTTTTTACACAATTTTTTATAGGCCATGGTCTAGTGAAAGAGGCCAACCAACAAAGAAAGGAATTTGTACTCCAAGTCGTCCGTGGACGATTTCTTGCCGGACCCGGGCCAGTCCCCATGGAGCGAGGCAGGTGACCTGTGGCAGCTCCCTGGCTCTTGGGGAGCTCCAATTTCAAACGCCCTCAGCTCCAGCATCCCAGAGTTGCCTATTTAAGCACACCCAGGTTTTTAGGCTGCACTATCTTGTTCCTTTCAAGAAAGGATAAAGCAGCATTTATCGTATTCAGCYCTGCTGAATGGGTCAGGCTGGCCAKGCCAGCAGGGGCACCTCTCACTGMGTCCCCCTCTCTGCTGTCATCACCTCTTATGACTTCCCTTCCACTGCCACTCCCCCAAAAATCAGGGGCAGAAGCAGCAAAGGCCAAGTGACTTTACAGCAGCGCCTCGTGTGGGTAATGCTCTCTTTGTCCTGGGCGAGATGTTAKAAACCTTTGTTGGCAAAATAGGTGCTTCTGGAGAGCAGCTTGGCACAGGCACTCACCTTCAGCAGCCATGGTCGTGGCAGGAGTTTACTGGTGATTCAAAGTCTCCTCCCTCACTACCCACACCAAACTGAAATTAAATGTCATCACCCTGCGACACTGGAAAGTCTGGCAGTGTGGCACAGCCAGGCAATTGTCAGCCATGCCAGCTCCCAAATCCACTCTCAGACCTCAACCATTGAGGCTGCCCAGATATGACATAAATATTCCCAATCCCAAGTCGTGGAGGCCTCAGAAAGGTTGGAAATTCAGAYGCCCTAAAAACTCCTTTTGTTTGTTTGACTACAAAATCCATGCCTCTGCATGGAGTTCATTCGACTAAYGTCCTTAAATGATTTTAAGTGACTAGAAACTTCAGTATCAAAGTGCCAAATACAGCTTTACTAAAAGTACTTTCACCAGATGTAACAGGTTATTCCTCACTCCACGTAGCCCTGTCCTACTATCAAGTCTGCATTTGAAGTACAAGYACTTTTTATATCAAAGAAGATCAGACTATTCTAAAAAGCCTACTTCCCACATCTCTGCTGGGAGATCTGAGAGAGCTTTTGGGGTCTACTGTTCAATTTTTTGGTAAAAGCAGGGCATCAGCTTCACTGAGGTACACCAAACAATATGACAAACACTTCCAGCCTTTACAGTCCAGTTSTGGACAGGCATCTAAATCCATTGCTTTAAGGAGTTCACAGGAGAAAATGTGAAAGATGTGCACCCARAAGCCCTAGGAAAGGCCTGGAGCAACTTTTAAATGGCTGACTAAAAGCTCCCTATGTATGTATGTGTACAAATGTCTCCTTTTAAAAACAGTTTCTGCCTCCTAGAAGAACTTTGCAGTTTGCATTCAGTTTTGTATTTCATG